GGGGAGGACGACCCGGCGGAGGACACGGTGCAGTTGCTGGCTAGGCGGCAGCGCAGGGAGAAGCGGGAGCTGCAGGGTGAGTGGGGCCGGCCGGGAGTAGCTGCAGCGCTGGGCCCGGGCGGGGGGAGCCCAGGACTCCGCGTTCCGAAAGCGCTGTCATCAGCTTAGTCACAGTCGCCGTCAGCGCGTCATAATGACCCTCGGCATCGGTCTGCTGGCGGGTCCGGATCTCCCCTGCGGGCGGGGCGCGGGCGCGTCTGTGGCCCAGCGGCTTAGCCCGGGACGGGGGAGTCTGGGGCTCGATTAATTTACTGGGATCAGCCATTCCCCAGGCCAAGTGCTAATCTGGACCCTTGGCAGGTTCCTCGTGTGGGATCAATGGGCCCAGCTCTGTGTGGAGTCTAGGCTTTGTTGCAGAGGAGGCCTGGAAGCCTTGTCTGCTTTTAGCCTGAGGGCCCTGCTACAGCCTCAAATGGAAGCTGGCTAGGAACCAGCCAACTGGGAGCCCTGTCCCCTGAGCGGGTCTGAGCCCCGGGGCTGCACCACCTGCTGCCAGCCCCACCACTGATGAGCCTTGCAGTGGTTATGGCAGTCCCATTGCTGACCCTGCTGTGGGCCTCACAGCGGGGACAGCCTTATTGGCTGCAGAGCTCATAGCGGGGGCAGTGGGAAGAATGGTGTGGGGCTCGCAGCCATGAGAGCCAGTGCAGGGGATCATGCCCTCCAGTGGCAGTAAGGTGTGATGAGCTCTAATGCATGATCCTAAAATAGTATCTTTTGCCATGTACATGTGGCATGGCAGGAGGCATGATTGTGCAGATCACGCATTAGATCCTATTGTGCCTTTATCTGCACTAGAGGTGCACCGATACGTTTGTCCATATCATATCAGCACCGATAAAAAGAAAATTGACATTATCGGCAATTGGCTTTTTTTGGCCAATGTGGTTGATAATGTCACTGATAAATGTTGTGTGCATGTGCACAGCTGTAGCATGCACGTGGGCAGGAATGCAGCCCAGCAGCTTGGAGAGCAGCATCCAGCTGGTAAGGTTGTGGGGGAAGGGACATAGTGGGGGCAGATTGAAGCCCCCACAGTGAGTGGGGCTGGGGCAGGTGGGATGGGGCATGGGATGGAGCTGTGGGTGGCTCATCCAGGGGGTGGGGAGGGCGGCTTCTGGCACTGCATGCTTCCCACAGGGGGCATGGGAGCCATGTGCCCCTCAGATTTGTGCACGGGACAAGGGCAGGCTGCCTGCTGCAAGTCTGGAGCTGGGAGCTGTGTTGAACTCTTCCTGGTGGGAGGGCTGGGGCTGCACTTGGGGAGGGCAGTGGCAGCACTGGGAGGGGGGGCTATGGGGTATTTTGGGGTGGCTCTAGTCCCCCCCCTCCCAGTGCTACCACCGCCTACCCCCAGCCCAGCCTCTGGCCCCAAGCCCACAGTGGGTGACCTGCCCTTGATCCATACACAAATCCAATCGGCATATTCCCCCTATGCTTTCCCCAGGGATGCGCACAGTGGTGGGAGCTGCCACTCCCCCCCCCCCC